TATATATATATATATATTACTATGTAACGGTGAGGACATGACTGCTTCTGATGAGATGGTTCGAAAAGGCCTGACATATTGATAGATCCCTTTGCTGTTCTGCTGTCTTGACTATCTTCCAAAACTATCTGTCTGCCTTTGAGCAAAATTTTCACTTTTTCAGATCTGTATCTTCTGCTTCCTCTACAATCTCCCAATCAGACAATTTCCTGAATGATATTTCATGTACTATTGATTAATGGTGCTTGAGTTGACAGCATGTTTTTAGATAATAATTATAGCGAATATCTTATATCAGGCACCATGCCACCATGAAAGTATTTTTCTCATCCTCTGAGAAGATTCTTATTCATAAGACTAGCATAGAGATAACCATGGAGGAATCAAGAACAGAAAATCACCTTCAGGCTCTTTAAGAATTTTTGATTGCCAGTCTGAGAATCACATTACTGCATAATTTAGAACACATAAATACAGGAGAAAAAAAAAACATTTAAAATGTAAATGTTACCTAAAATTTAAATGTTAATTTAGGAAAGTCTCACATAAATTTAAATGTTACTTGATATATGCATTTGCTGGAAGTCAAGTTATTTTTACAAGACATGTCAGTTTGAATTAGTTTTGCATAGACAGATTTAATCAATTTAAAAATCTGAATATAATATATACAATCAGAATAGGAAAACAGAGTAGTCAAATAACCTCCAGGATCAGACTGCATTCTTCATGTCGGGAGATTTTTAACTTGTATCTCTGTATTTCAATTATATTTATTGTCCAATGGATGAACAAAAAATGTTTGCTGGATTGAGATCATTTCTTATAGAGATAAAACTAGAAATGTAATATCTTTTCCTGATTATTTCCAGAGAACACAGAACGTGAAAATATTCTACCCAGAAGCATAGTGACAAGGACACGACTATATGGAATTAATAGGATGGATACTTTCATAAAATAATATGTGCGTATCAATGGCTGTTCTGTAGGCTAAAAATGTAGAATGGTAACTAACGTAGAGATAAATTACCACATTCAATAAAAATTTAAAAACAAGGCTGGCACCTTAATTAAAATACACGGAAAAGAAATAGGGAGGCAGCAGGTGGCATGGTGGTTAAGGCACTGGACTTGCACACGGCCAATCGCAGTTAAAGTCCCAGACCTGGAGTCTTCATAATCACTCTGGGCACTTTTGCATATGTGCCCAAAATCCCAGGAGGAGAATAGAATAGGAGAGATTGCAGAGTAGCCAATTCTCCCTTAGGGATGATTTCTCACTTTCTCTCTTTGTCTCTCTCTCCAGTGAGTACATGCACCCAATGGCAAAAACCCTTTAAAAAAAAAAAAGTATAGTTGAAAGAATAAAATGGAACCAAGAATAAAGTGCCTTGTTTATGGGAAAATGATTCAAGAATCAGAAAAAATAGGAACACAGTTAGTTAAAAGAAAATAAAGTCATCATTAGTATTTGCTTTTATTCATCTACATATGATTTTATGATAAAATGTTTTCAAAAGCCATCTTAAACATTCATATTTGCCTTCAGTTTAGCATAGGTCAGCTATGGTACCTATGGCTGTTTAGACGGTAATTTTTTAAATGTTCCAATTTATTGTTAAGAATCATCAAAATCAATAGAAATAATGGAACTCCGCACATCACTAAAATGTGGTAATAGAGTTCTGAAGAGAGCTTACAGTGGTAACAATTTGCTCTAAGTGAGTATAAAGGAATTTTAGCAAGTCCTATTCTCCAATGAAGCCAATAATCACAACAGTGTCAGAACAAGCAAGTCCTATTGTACAATGAAGCCAATAATCACAACAGTGTCAGAAGACAGACTAACTGCCCAACCATGAGTTTATAACATAAACATTAGTTATTGTTTTGGCTTATGGCTAGTTAAGTGGGAATAACATTGCATTTAAAAGTTTTCACAGTGTGCTTCCATGAAAATCCTACTTGCTTTCAAGTATGTTTTTAAACTCTCCCATGACATGAAGATTTCATGGTGTTCATCTAGTGGTTACTATTCTTGGTCCACAATTTTTGTGACAAGTGAATAAAACTTAGAAAGGAAGGTAAGAAACTCATTTTTTTGCATAGAAACTCACTGGAAGCTTGGGTAATTTTTATTCTTTTTGATAGGAAAATTTGAAAACTAGTTTCCTGGTAAAAATAAACTCCTGGTATTAAGGAGGAATATATTGAGCGAGGTAGCCCAAATACAGGGTTGATAAAGAGACCTGCACCAGTTAGTTATCAAGCTAAAAATAAATACAAAAGAAAAAACTTTATTACAGTGATGTAGAAATTCAAGAAATAAAATATAACTCAAATAGACAAATTTCTACATCCATTATTGCATTTCCTAGCAATATTTTTACCAATTTCTAGTAATTATGAGCGTGTGCAGATGTAATTTTTCTTTTTCTTTTTTCCTTCTTTTCTTTTTTAATTTGCCAGAGAGACAGAGACAGAGGGAAAATGAGAAAGCACTCCCCATAGAGCATGGTGGCACTGCAATCTCTTCTCACCTCTCCAGTTTGGGGACTTTTGGCACATGCAAGGCATGTTTCTCAAGCCATGGGTCTAAGACTCAAACTGCATAGCCAGCTGTGTGAGATCCAACCACCTTAACCACCAGGTCATCAGCTGGTTCCAGAAATAAAACTTTATTTACAATTGTTATTTCAAAACAAATGCAGTGTTTCAGTAAATCCACTCTTTATCTCAGTTTTTCTTACCTCATATTGTCATGTGTTAATACTAAGGCAAAAGAGGCAAAGGAATATTATTTTATTTTTTCAAAGAATTATTTATATAATTTTTATTTATTAGTATTTAATTTTTTAAAATTTTGCTACAGGATACAGGCACTCACCAGAGAGAAATGAGGGAGAGAGGGAAAGGGAGAAAGCAAGCCGCCAGGTCCTGGACATGAACCACAGTCGGCCATGTGAAACTCCAGCACCTTAACCACCATGCCACCAGTTGGCCCAGAATATCCTTATTTTAGAAAGAGAAAAAAAACCTTCAAATTTAGTTTTGAGCATATATTATTTTTAATTTTTCTTACATTTTAACAAGCAAACAATGTCCTTCCTCATATCATATTGACTTAGTACCTAATCCAGTAACTTCTCAGGACTGAAAAGTCATTTTTTGGAATGTGAGCTTTTCTTTTTTTAGCTATTTATGTCAAAAGTAATTTGAATTATTTCCTTCTAAAGGACATGTTAAGTCCACATAATTAGCCTGTATTTGTTAAATACAGTTCGTATTAGTTAAATACAAAATTAGCTTATATTTGTTCATTTGTATTTGTTATCTGCAATCAATGTGGTCTTATAAATTCTTTTCAGGCATTCTGGTAATAAACCCTAGAAATACAAGTCAAAAGATATGTCATCCTAGCTTAGAAATTCAAAAATAAAAAAATTTCAAGATGAAATTATTGATGAAACAGACACTGACGTAAGACATAAGCATAGTCATTCTAAAAGCATATAGCCATATGTTCCTCTTACATCTCCTCCATGAATCCTCTCAAAAATCTGGCTAAAAACACTAACCATGAGGCCAGTAGATGGCATAGTGGATCAGGTGCTAGATTCCCACATGACTGATCATGGTTAGAGTCCCAGACCTGGTAGCTTGAAAATGACACTGGGCCCAAGTGTGCGCATGCTTAAAATCCCACGAGGAGAAAGGAGGAGAAAGGGTTGTGGCCATCACCTGGGGGAGTGATTTTTCACTTCCCCTCTCACTGTCTCTCTCTGTCTCTGGTGAGCACATGTGCCCTAAAATAAAAAGAATACTAATCATAACTAAACGTGAAAATTGTGTTATGTCTGGGAGGATTACAATCTTAATCATCTTTCTCTAATACTAGAACAATGAAAGAGAAAGACGATGGAAAAAGGACATTTGGAGGAGGGATACGGAGGCAGAGCATTGACGGAATGGGGAGATGTGGTGTTACTGGTGGAAGATATTCTGATCAACTGGACCGGGGAGAAATGTTCACATATTGAAATGTTCACTTTGTAAGCTAAATAATGTGATTGAATGTATATAAAAAAATAAATAATTTTTTAAAAAGAAAGAAAATAAAAGATAAGATGTGGAAAGAGTATTTCAGAAAAACGGTGAAGACATGTTATTGATGAGTATAACAAAAGGTCCTCCAGCCCATAACCTAGTTTAAAAGAAAGGGAATACAGTGCCTTACCCCAGCCTACCAGGATGAAGCCCCACATGTATTTGGTGTCCGAAAAGAAAGCCACGAAGATTAGACTGTGCAGGTAGAGACCTTCCACCAAAATCCAGTAGTAGTTTGTAGCCAGGAAGTAAATAAACATCACAACAGCAATCTTGCACCCAATCTGTTACAAACAAACCAGAATTGCATCATATTAGAACTTTTAATTGCACTGGATACTAATAGTAACCAACTACAAAACTGTTCTTCAGATTCATTTTTCTAGTCTAATGTAGCTCCTATATATAAAAGGCCAAGGCTATTGAAAGAGACCAGAAAAAGTTATTTAAGTGTAGCAACTTTTTACAACTGCAGATTTTGTTCTATTTTTTTATGTAAGGTTTTCCCATTGAGCATTGACGGAATGGGGAGATGTGGTGTTACTGGTGGAAGATATTCTGATCAACTGGACCGGGGAGAAATGTTCACATATTGAAATGTTCACTTTGTAAGCTAAATAATGTGATTGAATGTATATAAAAAAATAAATAATTTTTTAAAAAGAAAGAAAATAAAAGATAAGATGTGGAAAGAGTATTTCAGAAAAACGGTGAAGACATGTTATTGATGAGTATAACAAAAGGTCCTCCAGCCCATAACCTAGTTTAAAAGAAAGGGAATACAGTGCCTTACCCCAGCCTACCAGGATGAAGCCCCACATGTATTTGGTGTCCGAAAAGAAAGCCACGAAGATTAGACTGTGCAGGTAGAGACCTTCCACCAAAATCCAGTAGTAGTTTGTAGCCAGGAAGTAAATAAACATCACAACAGCAATCTTGCACCCAATCTGTTACAAACAAACCAGAATTGCATCATATTAGAACTTTTAATTGCACTGGATACTAATAGTAACCAACTACAAAACTGTTCTTCAGATTCATTTTTCTAGTCTAATGTAGCTCCTATATATAAAAGGCCAAGGCTATTGAAAGAGACCAGAAAAAGTTATTTAAGTGTAGCAACTTTTTACAACTGCAGATTTTGTTCTATTTTTTTATGTAAGGTTTTCCCATTAGAAGTTACAAAAAAAATTACTTTTCCTTAATTTCTTTTGATAAAAATAATATTGGGTCATCAGAAAAGTCACCATGCATTTTTTCATAGAAAAATACATCATGACTTTTCTGATGACCCAATAAATGACTATCAGAGAAAACCAGGTAAGGACGGGAAAACATAAAGAAAAAATATCCATATTTATAACTCATAAGATATATGAATTTATTTTACCTTATTTTGCAGCTATAACTGACTCAAAAATTAATTACTTAAAATAGTAAATATTTAATATGTCTCATGAACCTATTGATCGCTGAGTGATTCTGTTACTCTGAGCTGAGCTTAGTTCATCCGGACTGAGCCCACCCATACAAGTCTACCTTCAATTGGCACACTATTACTTCCACTTCATCCTACTGGGTAAATTAAGCCAGAAGGACAGCAGGGACCAGCAGGAACTACAAGGTTTTAGGACAAAGGCACACGGGTACAGAGAGGGCATTGATCTGTACCCTCAAGACAATTTACTATAACTAGTTTCCAGATACATTGTTTTAATGATCTAATTAACTGTGCTATTGGGTGCTTCTATTTACTAACCAATAACAGGACATTTAAGAGCAAAGTAAAGTATCATGGAAATTATATTAAAACAAGTATTCGTATCTAAAAAACTAAAAGAACTAAATATCGATAGCTTATAAATCCCAAGCATCTCATTTTGCTGATTTTTTTTTTCAAGATTTTTTGCCATAAGACATGTGTATTCACCAAAGAGACTGAGACAAGGATGAAGACAAATGGAAAGTAAGAATTATCTCCTGGAGGGAAATGACCATGCTGCAATCTCTTCTTTTCAATTCTCCTCTGAGGATTTTGGGCACACACATACACACACACACTAGGCATAATTTTTTTTTGTTCCTTTTCTTTTTTGAGAGATTTTTGCTATAGGGAATGTGACAGAGGGAGACAAAAAGACAGAAAGCAAGAAAGCACCTCCCAGGGAGGATGGCCACACTGCAATCCATCTGCCTCTTAGTATTTTGGGCACACACACACACACACACATGCCTGGCATGAGTTTCAAGTCACTGGTTCTGAGACTTGAACCATAGTTTGCCATGTGGAAGCTCAGTGCCTAAACCACTGCGCCACCTGCTGGCCCAGGCCCAATCACATTTAATAACTGAAAGTGAAGAGTGATTAACTATGAGAGGATAGTTTTTGTTGTTTTTTCTTTTTTTCTCTTCTCTCTTTCTCTTTCTCTGCTTTCTTATCCTTTTTCTTTTACCTCATCATTTTGATGCTCAACTTCCATGCACTGAATATCTAGAGAGGACTAAGTGAACCACAGCCAAACATTCAAATACTATTAGGGTCAACATATTCCCCAGTTCCCACAAAATCTGCCACACAAAGGGGAAAACACAGAATGACAAAGAGATTGCAGATCACCTCCTCCTGCATGCCTCTGAATGCTCAGATTGAACTTCTAGAAATTAGGAAGAAATGTATAATCCATCAGATGACTAGAAATCACCACAGAGGCACAAGAAATATGAGAAACCAAGAAAATATGTCTCCCCCCAAGGGAAAAGAATAACTCCTCTTCATTCAGAGACACTACAGTGAAACTTGTGGAAATGTCTGATAAAGAATTTAGAATATTCATAGTGACAAAGCTAAAAGAGAAGCAAGAAAAGAGAGACAATAAATTCCAGAAGAAGAAGGAGAAAAGAGCCAATGAGTTCCAAGAGGTGAGGAAGTTCTTGCATGACCTGAAAGAGGAAATACACATCATAAAAAAGAATCAAATGGAAATGTTAGAGATGAAGGCTATAATACAGGAAGTCAAAACCTCCCTGAGTGTATTAAAAGCAGACTAGATCATACAGAAAATCGAAGTTCAGATGTAGAAGACAGAATCACTGGCCTAGAAAATCCCACCATCAAGACTGAGAAAATAATCCCCCCCAAAATTAGAATAATATATGAAAAATACTAGATACTATTAAATATCCAAACATCCAGATAATCAGTATCCCAGAATGTGAAGAGACTAATAAGGGCATTGATAATTTATTCCATGAAATCCTAGAAGAAAACTTTCCAAACCTAGAGAGGCATTCAAAGATCAAGTCCCAAGAAATACAAAGGACCCCGAATAGAATCAACCCAAGAAGACCTTCTCCAAGACACATTATAGCCAGAATGACTAAAATCACAGGCAAAGACAAGATACTAAAGATTGGCAAGAGAGAAAAGTCTAGTTACCTACAAAGGATATACCATCATACTAATAGTGTAACTCTCATCGGAAATAATGCGAGCGAGGAAAGAATGGGAAAATATTTTCAAAGTGCTGAGTGAAAAATAATTTCAACCAAGAATACTATGCCTGGCAAGATTATCCTTCACATGGGAGGAGAAGACAAGAACATTCTCAGATAAACAAAACCTGAAAGAACTTAGCAACACCAGACCAGTTCTCCAAGAAGTTCTGAAAGGAGTGCTATATCAGGAAAACTAAAGTCAGACACACAGAAATAAGAGTTCAAAAACAACTAAGAAAATGGCCAGCTTAATGGTAGGGACAAGTCCGAAGTTGAATGTTATCTTCCAGAATTTAAACAGAAAGATCAGATCACAACAGAAGATAAAGTACATGAGACTGAACTGTGAAATAGAATTTTATAACTTTAGACTAAAACATTACTGATGTTCCTCTATGCTTTATTTTCCAGAGTTAAGAATTTTTGTCTTCTCTTGAGTTGTCGGCAGGTCCATGTACCTACTATTTGAACAGAATCCTAACCTGTTTCCTGGCTTTAAGCCTTAAGCAAAGTTCTCTTAACGTTTTGGGTTTTTTGTTTGTTTTTTGTTTGTTTGTTTTTGTATGGGTGTATGTGTGGGTTTTTTTTTTTTTTTTACTAAAGCTAAACCTTCTTTTCTTGAAATTAAAAATATATATTTAAAAATACTATTTAATGACCACAGTAAGCTATATTGCCTCAATTAGGTGCTACTTCATAGCATATTCATTCTACTCACAGAGTTTCATGCCTAAAGTCAGACATGTGTTCACATATATGTATAGATCAGCTGAACTTGTTATTGAAAATAGTTATATTAATTAGGATTTTTGCAAATCAATAAAATGTATGTGGGGGGAAGGAATGGAAAGCATTGTAGATACCAGAGACAGTGTGGGAGAAGAGTGGGAAATGGCAGAGGGTGAGAAATAGGGGGTAAATGTTTATATATATATATATGTGTGTGTGTGTGTGTGTTGTGTATGTGTAAGTCTGTGTGTATTTAAACAAGAAATAGAAAATTATTTGTTGACAGCATGTATGATTAGGCACTATACTGTGTATTGTGAATGAGAAATCACATTTTGTATGCTGAGATGATGTTCAGTGAATGAATGTAAAATAAATAAATTTTTTAAAAAAGAAAACTTCAGTATACAAATTAGTAGTTTAATTCAGTTAGTTCAAAGATAAGATAAGCCAAAACAAGTTAGCATGCATTACTAAACTACAAAATATTTTACTTCTTTATAAAGTTATACAAATGAGTAGTGAGAGAAAATGGTGAAACACATACATATTGGGATTTGTCCACAGAAGGTGCTTCGATGGAATTCTGTGGGTTGTCCTCCATTACCAGGGACTGCAGCTCCTTTAATCCTATGTGAGCATGGGCCACCCTGTCCTTGACAATGATGCTTGTAGCTCTCAGCATGAACGACACAAATAAGTGCATGTGGATATAGTTCCTGGTGCAATGCAGTCGTCTATGGAGAGAAATACTCAGTATGTAAAACAGGATAAAATTAGAGGTAGTGACTACCTAAAAGAGCCCCAACTCCTCCCCCTAAAAGAGGAAATTATTATAAATTTTTAAAAAGACAGAAACCCATTATAATATGTTAACAATACAAACAATGGAAATCTAAAACAGGGGTTCCAAACCCCCACGCTGTGGACTGGTACAGGTCCATGGCCTGTTGAGAACCAGCCACAGTGGGGGAGAGGTAACAGTAGGCCAACGAGTGAGGCTTCATCTGTGTTTGCAGCTGCTCCCCATCACAGGCATTGCTTCCTGGGCTCTGCCTCCTGTAGGATCAGCGGCAGTATTGGATTCTCGTAGGAACCCAATCCTTACTCCGTGACTATTCTGTTGTATATTGCAACGTGGTAGTAGTGGAAATGGGGTGCACAGTGAATCCAGTGCACTTGGGTCACCCCAGGACCAACCCTCCCCTATCCTCTGTCCATGGAGGAATTTTCTTCTATGAGGCCAGTCCCTGGTGCTCGGAAGTTTGGGGACCATTGTCCAAAACTAAAGTGTAACTTTTCTAAAATTAATTTTAAATATATCCTGATCTATCATTTTTTTTAAGTTTTATTTATGCTAGAGAATGCAGACACATGCATGAAAGAGAGAGAGAGAAATGCCTTTGACAGGGTCTCATCATGCCAAGATCCCCTCTCCCAAGCCTCTGGATCATCAGGGTCCTGAGTACTCACCAGTGTGTTTTCAGACCAGCTCAGGGATCTGAACCCACTGTTGGCCATGTGCCTTCCAATGCTTCAGTTTAGTATTGCTATCAACCTCAGCACCAGGCTGAGTGTTGCTATCACACTTATCTAGATTTTGCAGTGTTAAATATTATACTCCAGTATCAAATGAAATCATATATTAAAACAATATATATTAGGTGCTACTTCATAGCATATTCATTCTACTCACAGAGTTTCATGCCTAAAGTCAGACATGTGTTCACATATATGTATAGATCAGCTGAACTTGTTATTGAAAATAGTTATATTAATTAGGATTTTTGCAAATCAATAAAATGTATGTGGGGGGAAGGAATGGAAAGCATTGTAGATACCAGAGACAGTGTGGGAGAAGAGTGGGAAATGGCAGAGGGTGAGAAATAGGGGGTAAATGTTTATATATATATATATATGTGTGTGTGTGTGTGTGTGTGTGTGTGTGTGTGTGTATATAAACAAGAAATAGAAAATTATTTGTTGACAGCATGTATGATTAGGCACTATACTGTGTATTGTGAATGAGAAATCACATTTTGTATGCTGAGATGATGTTCAGTGAATGAATGTAAAATAAATAAATTTTTTAAAAAAGAAAACTTCAGTATACAAATTAGTAGTTTAATTCAGTTAGTTCAAAGATAAGATAAGCCAAAACAAGTTAGCATGCATTACTAAACTACAAAATATTTTACTTCTTTATAAAGTTATACAAATGAGTAGTGAGAGAAAATGGTGAAACACATACATATTGGGATTTGTCCACAGAAGGTGCTTCGATGGAATTCTGTGGGTTGTCCTCCATTACCAGGGACTGCAGCTCCTTTAATCCTATGTGAGCATGGGCCACCCTGTCCTTGACAATGATGCTTGTAGCTCTCAGCATGAACGACACAAATAAGTGCATGTGGATATAGTTCCTGGTGCAATGCAGTCGTCTATGGAGAGAAATACTCAGTATGTAAAACAGGATAAAATTAGAGGTAGTGACTACCTAAAAGAGCCCCAACTCCTCCCCCTAAAAGAGGAAATTATTATAAATTTTTAAAAAGACAGAAACCCATTATAATATGTTAACAATACAAACAACGGAAATCTAAAACAGGGGTTCCAAACCCCCACGCTGTGGACTGGTACAGGTCCATGGCCTGTTGAGAACCAGCCACAGTGGGGGAGAGGTAACAGTAGGCCAACGAGTGAGGCTTCATCTGTGTTTGCAGCTGCTCCCCATCACAGGCATTGCTTCCTGGGCTCTGCCTCCTGTAGGATCAGCGGCAGTATTGGATTCTCGTAGGAACCCAATCCTTACTCCGTGACTATTCTGTTGTATATTGCAACGTGGTAGTAGTGGAAATGGGGTGCACAGTGAATCCAGTGCACTTGGGTCACCCCAGGACCAACCCTCCCCTATCCTCTGTCCATGGAGGAATTTTCTTCTATGAGGCCAGTCCCTGGTGCTCGGAAGTTTGGGGACCATTGTCCAAAACTAAAGTGTAACTTTTCTAAAATTAATTTTAAATATATCCTGATCTATCATTTTTTTTAAGTTTTATTTATGCTAGAGAATGCAGACACATGCATGAAAGAGAGAGAGAGAAATGCCTTTGACAGGGTCTCATCATGCCAAGATCCCCTCTCCCAAGCCTCTGGATCATCAGGGTCCTGAGTACTCACCAGTGTGTTTTCAGACCAGCTCAGGGATCTGAACCCACTGTTGGCCATGTGCCTTCCAATGCTTCAGTTTAGTATTGCTATCAACCTCAGCACCAGGCTGAGTGTTGCTATCACACTTATCTAGATTTTGCAGTGTTAAATATTATACTCCAGTATCAAATGAAATCATATATTAAAACAATATATTTACTAAAACCACCTTGAAAAGGGATAAACATTATTCATACCAGAACATCCACATTTTTAATACATTCAACACAACTCTAGCTTAAAGTGTAATAAATATTTTTTAAAGAATTATTTTATTTAACTTTACTTAGTTGGTTTTGTTTGTTTGTTTTGGGGGGAGGCAAGGTTTTGTTGCTATAGGGCACTCGTCAGAAAGACAGAGAGAGACAGAGAGACAGAAAGCGAGAAATCACCCCCTAGAGGGGATGGTCACGCCGCAATCCCTTCTCCTCCATTCTCCTCTCGGGATCTTGGGCATGCAATGCACACGCGCCCAGTGTGAGTTTAAGCCACCGGGTCTGGGACTCGAACCGCAGTCGACTGCATGGGAGTCCAGAAACATAGCCATTACGCCAACTACTGGTCCCTATTTACTAATTTGTTTTCATTTGACCAGAGAGGAGCAGCGAGAGAGAGAGGGAATGTGAGAAAGCAAGCCACCAGGTCCAGGACTTGAACCTCAGTAGGCTATGTGGAAGTCTAGTGCCCTTATCCACCACGCCATCTGCCAGCCTCAAAATGTAAGATATTTTTGATAGCATGACACAAATTTCATAGGGATGTCTGAACATGAACACGTTATGTACATATATTTATGTCCATTGCACCCAGAAAATCCTTCTCATTCACTGACTCCTCACTGTGATTGTTTTCACAGGTGAGCAGTATTTGGCCAGATAAGTTATGAGGTGTACATAGAAGTTATTATGCTATTACTGTGATCAGTGCCATCACAGTATTTAAGCAGGTATTGATTTTGAAGAGACCAAACACTATTTATTATCCTTATATAGGACTATATATATAATATATATTTTTTTTGGGGGGGGGGAGGTTTTTAGCCATAGGGCACCGGCACTCGCGAGAGAGACAGACAGACAGAAAGTGAGAAATCACCCCCCGGGGGGATGGCCACACCACAGTCCCTTCTCCTCCATTCTCCTCTCAGGATCTTGGGTGCGCGTGCGCACACACTCACACGCCCGGCCTAAGTTTAAGCCACCAGGTCTGGGACTCGAACTGTGGTCAACTACATGGAAGTCTAGCAACACAGCCATTAATGCAACATAGCCATTATGCTAACTGCTGGTCCCGATAAAGGACTATTTTGTGAAACAGAAGAATTTCTGAAATTTTTGTGTAACCATTTGCTGTATACTATAGCAACTGTAAATAAAGTAATTGTGTAGAAATTGAAAGAATCCACTTTGAAACAATATGATGAATTAGGCAAACTGAAGTATTATTGCTTAGTCATTTTTATCCTCCTTAAATTTTAGGTAGCTTTTTTTTTCTCATAAAAACTTGTCTATTATGATGAACAACCAGAGCTAAACAGTGCAATAAAATGAACTCTACATAAGGAAAAAGAAAAAAATCTTTGTCAGAAGACAAAGATTCTGTCTCCAGCTTGACCACTTATGACCTATGACTTTGATCACCAAGCTTCAGTTTCTTGCTCTCTAAAATGCGGTAACATCTGCAAAGCCAACTTCACAAGGCCATTTTTAGGAACCTCTCGATATTTCCAAATCTGATCATGTTGCCCTCTTACAAAAAAAAAATAGCTGCCTATTATCTTTAGAGGGCAAAATTCAAGGCCCTAAACAAGGGCCTACAAAACCAGGAAAGGTTTTATAGCATCACAAAATCTAATTTCCTCTTTGGTTCCTCTAGGGCCAGTCCTCCCTATGCAGCAAATGTTCCATGTGCACAGGAATCCTCCAAGCTCCCTGTGTGCACTCTACTCTCTCATGCTTCTGAGTCTTTGCGCATTCTGTTCCCATCCTCTGGAATGTGCTGAATTCCTTCTCATTATTCAATACTAGCTCACGCACTAACTGTTCTGGGCAGTCTCTCTTATCTACTCAGTTTTGAACTAGCTCTTTGGTGTTCCCAAAGTCCTTCACAGAAATCTGTGTTACAGTACTATTAATACATAATCATGTAATGGGTCAGTCTTTCTCAGTGGTGTATATGGTACTTTTCTGGCCTGGAACATATCTTAATTTGGACTCTTTCAACACCAAAAAGAGTCTATTACAAGGTACAGAAAAATATTAGTTGAATAAGTGGTGTAGTGAATTAATAAATAAATTCTGAATTCTCAAATATTTCATGTTTTTTTTTTCTTGATCTAAAATTAGGTTTGGAACAGTCTTCCCCAGTCTCCTCTTTTGGTAAAATCTTATTTATACTCAAGTATCATTTTAGATTTCACTTCATCTAAGAGACCTTCCTTCATATTCTTCTTCTGCCCTCTCAAATTACTATGCATCACCAGAATCTTAACACTTCAAGCACTGTATAATACTAAATCTTGGCTATTTGGATCACGAACCAGCAGCAGCATAAGTATAAATGTTCTGATATATGCCTATGTTGGTGCTCAAAATTGTGTACTAATTTAGATTAAGTTGAACTGAATTGGATACAGTTTAAGCAGATAAAAAAAATAATAAATCACAGAGCCAACCCCATAGCACAGTAGTTAGACACCAGACACTACACAGAAGCAGCCAGATCCCACATGACTGACCAAGATTTGAATTCAGGCCCAGCAGCCTGTAAAACACACGAGCACATGCCCAGAATCCTGACAGGATGGCGAACTGTAGGAAAAAGGATTCCAGCACCACCATACCCTTCAGAGGTGCCTTCTCTCTCCTCTCTCTCTTTTCTTTCCCTCTCACATACAGCCTCTAGCAAAATAAATTAAATTAAATTAAATTAAATAGAATAAATAAATATTTAAAAATAATGAAAGTAATAAACATTAATTATTTATGTGTGGATTTCAGATGATTTGGGAGATCATTTAAGATTAATTTTTGACAGTGGCACAAAAATCATTTCAGTGAATAATTCATTACATACATCATGAAAAAAAATTTTTGTAACCCATTCAACTCTTATAAACAGACATACTATAATGCATGTTTATTGGCTTAAAGATTTCAGAAAGCTTTAATGCTCTAAGTATTTAAACAAATAAAACCCTAAATTTGGCATGAAAAAGTGAGTTGTTGCAACCAGCAGATTACGTTGCTGGACTCCCACATGGCTGACTGCAATTAGAGTCCTGGGCCCAGTGGCTTGAAAGTCACTCCAGGCACGTGTGAGTGCATGCCAAAATCTCAGGAGAATGGAAAAGAAGGGATTGCAACATGACCGCCCCCCCACCCCCCGCAAGGAGTGATTTCTCATTTTCCCTCTCACTGTCTCTGTCTCTCTGTCTCTCTCTCCGGTGAGTGCACACACCCTAAGGCAAGAAACTCTAAAAATAAGTGAGTTGTCAAATGATATAACATTTAAAAACTGTGTTTGGGGAAAATATTTGGCAGCAGAGATTTTGAGACCTCACAGTCTTCTGTGGATGGTAAACAGAATGTGTCCCTTCATGGGGAGAGCAGTGCAGAATCACTCACCTGAAGTAACCGATGATGAGAATAGCCACTGCCAAGGACCCAAAGGAGATGGAGTAGCCAACGGTGTACATCACAGAGAGGTTTTCAAAGAACTCTTGCTGTAGGGGAGGAGACCGTCACATATGTTATAGGACTACTGTACTAGGAAAGTGCTTACAAATAACGTCCTTTTTAAAATCCTGGTTCTAGTTCTCTAACTTTCTGAGTTATAATTTATATTCAGTGAAATATACAGAACATAAATGAGTAGTTGGATTGGTTTTGACAAACCAAGTTCAGTTTTATTTTTTGTTTTGTTTTTGTTTTAGTTTTTTGTAAAAAAAACCTATTCAATTTTATTTAAATTGCTGATTCTTGAGTTTATTTGACCACAGAACCCTTTTAAGGAATATCTATTACCATCTCACTGAACTACTTCTGTGAAAATGTCTCGCTCAAGAACAGGAGAAACATGTCAACATTGGGAACACAAAGGAATCACACATAAAATGGTTTTCAAAATTAGTGTAAGTCAATGATTTGAAAACTGGATAATCTTGTCCTTCTACGAGGTACTTCATCAATGGTAAATACAAGGAGAGCTGAAATGAGATTAAAGGCAGACAAGCAAAAGCCTATAAAGAATAGTACTGGGTTGCTCTGTTTAGTCATGGCCTCGCCAGGAGAGAAAATAACAGCATTCAGCGGTGTCTTCTTTTACCGCCTTGACAGAGGAGACATATACACTCTTGAACTTCCTCCAAAAGGTTCAGATCAAAGTTCAAAGCAGCCACATACAAACGAGTTCATCTTCATTCCTCCAGAAGCCAAATAACCTAGAGTCCAGGATTTCTAAGAGAAGACACCAATGGCTTATGCTGGCAAAGGAATCCCCCCTTATACTCCTTATATGCCATCCCCAAATAGCACCCAGACACTATAAGAGGACACACTTTTTGGTGTTCTTCTTTGTGGCAGGGTAAAGCACAGCCTGGACAGCTTCTGAAAGTACTTCATGTACCCCATCCTGCATCAGGGCTGAACATTCCAGATACTTCACAGCCCCTGCCTGCTTAGCCAGGGAAGTGCCTTTCTGAGGAGTTGTGGGTACTAAACTCTGTTCCTTCAGCTTCTTCACTGTCTCAAGATCACTCTGCAGATCCCTCTTGGTGCCTACCAGCAGGAAGGGTACATTGGGGCAATGATGGGGGAGACCTCGAGGTGCCACTTATGCCTCACATTGGCATAAGACCATGGGTTGCCAATAGAAAAACAAATGATAAAGATATTGGTCTATGGGTAAGAGCGTGTTCTCAGGCGATCATACTCCTCTTGGCCAGCAGTGACCCACAGGTTCAGGCTGATGATTTGGCTGTCCACAGATGTCTGGGTGCTGTAGTTGTCAAAGACAGTGGGAATATACTCCTCAGGAAAGGCATTTGTTGTGTAACTGATGAGGAGGCAGGTCTTACCTACAGTTCCATCTCCTACAACCACACATTTGATTGCCTACGTTCTTCCCTTGTAGTCAGGGCAAAGTCTGAACGTCCTTCAGGGCAGTCGAGCCACTGCTGGCAGAGCCTCCCAAGCATCTCACATTCAAACCAAGTTCAGTTTTGAACCTTGCTAGTCAAAAAACCACCCACCTTCCACCCCCAGGTAACCACTGTTCCAATTTCTTTTTTTTTTTAATTTGTTTGTTTACGTTCATTCACTGTACATCATTACAGATACAAAATGAGATTTCCCATCCAGAGTACACTGTATATTGTCTCAATCAAGCGCATCAACATACATGTTATTGTCAACAAATAATTTTCCATTTCTTGTTTCCTGTTTGTTTTGCTTTTATTCCCCCCATCCTTGATTTCCTATCTCTTACCCTCTGCCATCTCCCACTCTCTTCCCACACTGTCTCTGGTACCTATGTTTACTTTCTATACTGTTGCCCCCCACCATTTTTTATTAAATTACTAAAGATCTTAATCTAAATATTTTCATAGCAAACACAGCTGATATATACATTTCCATGAACACAAGTCTAACTTTAGGTATCCTATAAAGTAGCACCTAGCTGGGGCTATATATCTTACTGTGGTCATCAAATAGATTTTTTTTCCCAAACTTTTTTTTTTGTAACTTAATTTACATTCATTCACAGAGCATTATCACAGCATACAAAATATGATTTCCCATCCAGAATATATAGCATAATGGTTTAATCATACATGTTATCATTGATAATTTTCTATTTCTAGTTTCACACATATATATATATATATATTCAGGCGCATGCACTCGCATCCGGTGTGAGTTTAAGCCACTGGGTCTAGGACTCGAACCGCGATCGACTACATGGGAGCCCAGCGACATAGCCATTATGCTAACTGCTGGTCCCCCACTGTTCCAGTTTCTGAAACCCAAAATCAGCCTTCTCTTCCTATATTTCTTGACTGTTCTTAGATTTCTTGAAATTATATATTATATACTCTTTTTGTATAATTATTTAATTTTATCAATATTATTATTTCTTAATTTTCTATGGAGCAAATGTGCTCACCAGAAAGAAAGAGAAAGAGAGGGGGAAAGTGAGAAAGTAAGCCGCCAGGTCCAAAACTCAAACCACAGCTGACGATGTGGGAGTCCAATACCTTAACCTCCACACCACCTACTGGCCCATATAGTGTATAATCTTCTGGTCAACATATTGTTTTTTATATTCATCAATATCGTTGCATGAATCAATTGGTCATCCTTTTTATTTTTGTATTTTAAAATGAGTATAGAGTCACGAGAAGTAGAAAATACAGTAAGAAAGGACCCACGTGCCCCTCACCCAGTATCTCTCAGTGGTTATATCTTATATAATTATACTAAAATATCAAAAGCAGGCTTTAAGAGGATTCAAAATTATTGACTAAGAAACCTATATGGTTTCTCTCTAAGAAGAAAGACAAAGAAATCAGGATAAATGGCAACATTTTGAACAGATGAATGAGGAGGAAAACAGAATTCAACAAGGACACTGAGGGACCAGCAGTCAGTATAATGACTATGTCGCTGAACCCCCATGTAGCTGACCACGGTTCAAGTCCCGGACCCGGTTGCTTAAACGCACACCAGGCGCGTGTGCATGCGTGCCCAAGATCCTGAAAGAATGGAGGAGAAGGGATTGCAGTGTGGCCATCCCCCCCCCTGGGGGGGGTGATTTCTTGCTTTCTGTCTCTCTGTTTCTCTCTCTTTCTGGAGAGCACACGTGCCCTATAGCAAGAACCTCTCCAAAAAAAAAAAAGAAAAAGAAAAGAAACAGACACTGAGAGGATTCTGGGTCATTATGACAGGTGATAGAGATATATTAAGAAGAATAATTAATATTATTAATATAATTAATAATAATATTAAGAAGAATAATTCTCAGAACTCAGAAAGCCTCAGGAGCCAGCAGGAGCCCCCCTCCATGTTAAAACCAATTTGTTCTTTTTTTTCTGGTATTTTATACCAATCTATTGTGTTTGTATATTCTTTAGTCAATCAGTTTCAGTCATAGAGTGCAGACACCTGGTATATATTAAGTGGGGACAATGTCTCTCCTTCATGTCCAATCCATTATTTTTAACCAGTTTCCTAGTACAATAGTCCTATAACGTAAGTGACGGTCTCTTTCCCCTCCATGGGGAGAAGTTTGGACGGCTGCCATTCCCCCTCAGAAGTTGAGAAGTCGGTGCTCCCCATTCCCCAGACTCAAGACTTTGGAAACAATTTCCTTTCCTCCTACATCCCCTAGCAACACAGTTTCTCAGCATCTCCCTTTACAAAATATTGACATGGAAGGGAGGTTGGGGCAGGTGGCAGAGAGATGAGCAGAGGCTCCCCCCCTCCCATAATATGAGAATGAAGAAAGGAGCCATAGGCCCTACTCCATGCTGCCCAGGCAGAGTACTGGTGCCAGAGGAGAGACCCTACCCTGACAGAAACCAGGGTACCAGGGGACTCTCTCCAACCTCTGCAGTATCCCTCTCCCATCTCCATCCCACCCCACCCCTGTGTGGACAGAGCTCTGCAGCCAGCAGATAACCCAGCTTCTTGAAACAGCAGGATGAGCTGCTCACTTCTACCACTGCAGAGCCCTCCCAAACCCCTCCTGCTTGGGCACAGATGAGCTGACAGCAGCAAGGGTGGACAAAGGCAAGCTCCAGGATGGCAGCTCTCTCTTTCCAACTGAGTATTCCCCAGATGACAAATATAAATAAAAGGACATAAGAAACATGAAAATCAAGGGAAAATCTCTTCTCCAATGAAGTGCACTCATCTCTCACTTATAACTGACAAAACAAAATCATAGTGAGGTCGGATATGGAATCCAGAATATTGGACATAACAAAACTCTGATAGCAAGAGAATGCAAACAATTACAGGAGATGAGGAAACAATGCAGATATGTGCGAGAAATTTAACAAATCTGCATCTTCAAAAAATCAGAGGACTGACTCCATAGCCTGGTGGTTGGAGCAGCAGTCCCACGTGGCTGCCCATACAGTTCAAGTCTCAGACTGAGAAGCTTGAGAAACACGCCAGGAATATATGCACGTGTGCCCAAAATCCCAAGAGGAGGGAGAGATGGAGGAGAAAGAACTGTGCCATGACCACTCTTCATGAGGGTGGGGTGCTTTCTCCTTTCCCTTTTTCTGTCTCTCTGTGTCTGGCAAGAACATGCAGCCTCTAGAAAAAAAAAAATTAAAATTCCCCAATCAAAAGATACAGGCTGGTTAAATGAATTAAAAAATTGGAACCCTCTATATGCTACTAATAAGAAACCTCATCAAAAAGACATACACAGATGGAGAATGAAAGGTTGGAAAAGGTCACTCCATGCAAATGGAAATCTAAAATAAGCAGGAATCACTATCTTCGTATCAGATGAAATAAACTTCAAACTAAAATCTACTAAAATAAACTATGAAGACCATTATATAGGGATCAACTCACCTCGAAGATATAACAATTATAACTATATATGTACCCAATGTCAGAGCACACAAATATATTAAACAAAGACTCCCAGACCTAAATGGAGACATAGACACTAACACATAAATCATTGAGGATTGCAACAATCCAGTCTCACCACTGAACAAAAAATAAACAAAGAGATACATGACATGGAGACATTTATAATCACTTCATGCAACAACCACTGAACACATATTCCTTTCTACTGAAAAATGGAATAGTCTGTAATTGATCACATCACAGGGGAAACACACACACACACACACACAAAACTCTACCAACTTAAAAAATAAAAATCAGGAGGCCAGCAGATGGGGTGGTGGTTAAGATGCTGGACTCCCATGTGTTGACTGCAATTTGAGTCCCACACCTGGCAGCTTGCTTTCTCATTTTCCCTTTCTCTCTCTTTCTCTTTCTTACTCAGTGCACATGCCCTACAGTAAATTAAAAAAAAAAAAAACAACTAAATAAAAATTTTGTTAAAAAGTAGAAATCGTATCCTGCATCATTTCTGACCACAATGGAATGAAGTTAAAAATTAACAACAAAAACAAATGTCAACAATATGCAAATACATGGAAACTAAATAGCATGTTCCTAATTATGAAAATATTGAAGAAAGAAATTAAGAAAGAGAAGCCAGCAGGTGGTGTGGTAGTTAAGGTGCTGCACTCCCACATGGACCACTATGGTTTGAATCCCAGACCTGGCAGCTTGCTTTCTCACTTTCCCCCTCTCTCTGGTGAGAGCACATGCACTATAGCAAATTAAATAATAGTGATAAATAAAATTACATTAATATTTTTTAATTTTAAAAACAAAATTAAGAAAGAAATTTTTTAATTTCTTGAAACAAAGGAAAATGAAAATACAATATATCAGAACTTGTGGGACATAGCAAAGTCAGCACTAAGAGGGAAGTTTATCGAATTAAATGCCCACACTAAAACAATACAAAGATGGCAAGTAAGCAACCTAACAATGCAGCTCAGAGAGCAGGAAAAGCAAGACTAAGCTAAACCAGAAGCAATTAAAAAAAAGAAATAATAAAGACCAGAGTGGAAATAAATGAAGTAGAGACTAAAATAATAATGCAAAAGATTAATAAAACAAAAGCTGGGTTTTTTGAGAAGATAAACTTAATAGACAAACTTTTTGTTTAACTAATTCATTTGGTTCTCCACTCCAATCCTTACATTGGATCTTAGAAATAAAATTATAAGATCAAATGATACAATCCTTTGGGGGCAGTTTAAATATTTATTGTGAAATTGCTTTTCAAAGGGCATGTAACCTTTAGATATGAGCTATATTATATGATAATTTCTATAGTACATTACTGTTTTACATATTCTGCTCTAAAGAATTTAATACCTGTGGCCTATCATTAACATTCCTTCATTGTTTTTATTGAAAAATATTTACCTCTGGGCCAGCAGGTGGCATAGTGGTTAAAGCACTGGATTCCCACATGGCCAATAGCAGTTGCATTCCCAACCCAACATCTTAAAAATCACACAGGGCATATGTGAGTGTGTGCCCAAGATCCTAAGAGGAGAATGGAAGTGAAGGGATACAACATGGCCATTGTCCCTGGGGAGTGACTTCTCACTTCCCCTCTCACCATCTCTGTCACTCTGGTGAGTGGCAAAAGAAAAACGTAGAAAAATCAAATTTACCTAACTTTGGCAAACCAATGATAAGAAAATTATTAGAGGAAAAAAAATGGTGCTCAAAAATATTCTAGTTCCCCCATAAAGATGTAGAATTTATTCTATATACTTTTTTAGTTTATACTCTTTTTCTTCCCCTCAAATTTCATTATAACCATCAATAATTTATATGTCATAAATAATATAACTTTTCCCTGTGGCATATCAAAACGTCAGGAGATACCTAGTTTTCTTAATAGAAGATATCTAGTTTTCTTGAGGTTTCTAAAATTACTGCATAAGGGTTGTAAACAATAGAAAATACTCTTTGTATTTTTAATTAGGAGATAAAATTAAATTATTTCTGCTAATAGAATGCTCCAAACTTTAGTTCAATTTTAAACCATTTTAAAATAAAATAGTGTGTATCTTGGATGTATTAACCATCCTTAGTCATTTGGGTTCTTAAAATACAGTGATCACAAAGAATGGCTGTAAATTTAGAGTTCAAGTGTAAATAAAACATGATTTAAATTATTGGGTCATCAAAAATGTCAGGATGTATTTTTCTATGTTTTTCTAAGCAAAAATGTACCATGACTTTTCTGACAACCCAGTAATAGCCATTTAAAAGCTGTGAAAGACTTGCATTTTTCATCATTTAATGCACAAATAAAGATCATCACAGAGTACACTAAAATACTAGTGAATGTTTTTCTCTGTCAATGAGACTAAGGTTATTCTGAAACCTTTTCTATTAACTCAGTGTTGGCATTAGTTCCATTTGTAGGGCATGTAACAATCTCCTCACACTGACTCATTTTACCTAAGAAGCTTTTTAACAATGTAATACAAAACTGAGCCTTCAGCAAATTACTAATGAGCTCAATAAGGTGGTAGTGCTTTGCGTAAGGAAAGCACAAAATAGGGTCAACCAGTGGTGTGGTGGTAAAGGCAGCTGGACCCCAATGGCCAACTGTGCAGTTTGAGTCCCAGACCCAGTGGCTTGAAAAATACACCGGGTGCATGAGCATGTGTGTCCAAAATCTGAAAAACAGAAATGGAAGAGAAGAGGCTGTAGCATAACCATCCACCATGAGAGAGTCTTCTCTCTCGCTCTCTCTCTCTCTCTCTCTCTCTCTCATACACACACTCTAGAGAATTTTCTTTAAAAAAAAAATAAATAAAAGAAAAGCAGAAAATTAAAGAAAGTTTTGACTATTGGGGCCAGCAAGTGGCATGGTGATTAAGGCACTGGACTCCCACTGGCCAACCACAGTTTGAGTCCCAGGCCTGGCAGTTTGAAACTCATGCCAGGTGCATGTGTATGCATGCCCAAAATCCCAGAAGGAGAATGGAGAAGAAGGGATAGCTGTGTGGCCATCCCCCTGGGGGATGATTTCTTGCTTTCCCTCTTACTGTGTCTCTCTGTCTCTATAGTCAAACATACACACCCTATGGCAAAACCTTAAAAAAAAAAAAAAAAAGTTCTGACAATTAATGCAAAATCAAATTAAACAAAGAAATCTTCAGCTCACCACTAGACCTCCTCTTATTCTCCCCCATCCCATCCCTCAAAAATCACTAGGCATAAAGAAAAAAGTCTGATGTTGGGAGAGTTTATGTATGATACTCTGTTCTTAGGGTCATCATCAAAACCACTTGTACACAAATGTTTACTCATCAAATCATATGTATATCTCATGGAGCATTTTGATTCATGAGATGAAGTAATATGGATTTAAGCATGACTTTTAAACCACTAAATATAACTTAAAAGTAACTCTTAGAAGTTTTCAAAATTTACATATGATTGCTGTACTAGAGACAGTATTGATGTAAAACTAGAGGATCAGGGCTCTGTTTTTCACCCTGCCATCAGTGAGCTGTGTCACTTTAACTGACACTTAATCTTTGGCTCTCGGTTGACTCACATCTGTGAAAATAAGATATTCTGCTGGGAGACATGTATCAATGCCTCTTGTCCACTAGTGAAATCACCTACTGGCAAATCCTATGAGATGGAAGACACACCTCTAAAATGTAAGTCTTTCAGGGATATAGAGTGAGGTGAGATTTAGCCACTCATAAGAAGAAATCATGAATCATGGCACTGACTACTTACTAGAGTTTTTATACATAATACAATATAGCATGACATAATGTAATATAAACATAACATAATATAATGTAACACACACAGAGAGAGATTTTTAATACACATGTATGTATTTCAACAAGGTAAATATAACCTTAGGAAAATACCAGAATGTTCCAGATGCATATGAAAAGATTAGAGCAGTGTTTTATGTTTCATAATCTTTGTGGCATAGAATAAAAGGGTTTTTATATATAATGATTGCCAAGTAAGAATTGAATAAAAAACATGCTTCTACTTTCCCTAATACAAATACAAAATTCCATTACCTTTCCCATGCTGGTATCTGGCTTCTGAGAGTGTAGGCAGTCTGAATAATTGACCCATGTTTTATTCGAGCTGTGTACAGAAACCCACGTTCCATTGGGGTTACAATGTCGGAAAGCAACTCCTGTGAAGACATGAACCTGGTTAACAAATACAAGGCAGCAAGTACATAAATGGGATGAGTTTTAAAGAACTATATATAGCACAGTATAGTGGGTGGCAATTCTATGTATATTTCAAAATATCTAGAAGAGAGAATTGCATATGTTCATAACACAAAGTGGTGACAGGTGTTTGAAATGGTGAATATGTTTTGAACCCTGACAAAATCATTACAGATTGCATACATGTATTGAAAAACAACACCGTACCCCATACATATCTACAACTATTACATGTCAATTAAAAAAAACAATTTTTTAAAGACATGAAAGACAATGAAGTTGCTCAGCTCCCCTGGAGTCTATGTTTTTAAAAACTAAATTTCTCTCAAATTAATCATTTCAGAAAAAGTCAATACCTTTATGATTGAAGTCATAAATATAGGGAGGGCATGGGACAGCTGATATTTTCCCCACTGTTCCTCTGGGCCAACAAATGAGTCCATCCCATTCTGGGAAACAATTACCTTCTGATGAGAAAAAAAAAATTAAAGATCAAATAGTAAAGAAGAATGTAGCTGAAACCAAAGAATAAATACATTCAAACCATAAAATTTTGGGTCCCTGCCCATGTGAAAATGTAAAGCAACATTCTGGAAACTAGAATGGGGTAAATATGGTACAGATACCCCAAATTCATCTGTCTGCTTCATCAATGTCCATTTAATAGAAACATTAGATTTGCATAAGTTAAATTTTGCATAAATTCAAGTTAGTCCAATATATTAATAACAGTTATAACAATTAATATAGAAGAAAGAGAAAAGGTCATTGTAAATAAATTGTAAAGTTCTTCTGACTAGGGGCCAGTAGGTGAAATAGTGGCTGAGGTGCTGGACTCCCATGTGGTTGACCATGGTTCGAGTCCTAGACATGACAGCTTACTTTCTCACTTTCCCTATCTCTCTCTCTCTTATCAAATAAAAATAATAATAAATAAAAATAAATGAATAATTCTTTTTTAAAAAGTTTAGGGCCAGCAGGTGGCATGTTGGTTAAGGCGCTGGACACTCCCACATGGCCAACCACAGTTCAAGTCCCAGACCGAGTGGCTTGCTTTCTCACTTTCCCTCTCTGTGTGTCTCTCTCTGGTCAAATTAAAATAAAATGAATAAATAAATAAAATTAACATTAAAAAAAGTTCTTCTGACTCTCATTATTGTAGCTACATTTTTATCCTAGATCTTAAAAATTGCTGTTAAGGAACAGGACACACAAAACAGATTGTACTTCATGGGTCAGCTTCAGGGCTTCGGTATGTCTTTTTACTAACAGTTTTAGTAATCTCTTCGAGTTTAACACTCATCTCAGAACTCTCATAAGCTTTGCTCTTCTCGAGATGCATCCAGACCACTGCTACTTCTCACCACTCCCATGGCACCACAACAGCTCAAGTCACCTCATCTCCAGCCTGCATTACTGCAAAGAGCCACTGGTCAGTCTTTCTGATTCCATTCTTGCTCTCTGTAGGACAGTTCTCTAAGTGGCAATGGACCTGCCCACTTCTCCCCACCACTTTTGCTTGTAAGTCTCATGAATAATTGTAGTATGTGTTTAGGATACAATGCACTGAGATAAGGGAGGGGCTCTGTTCCAGTCTCTCCCAGACACATACATCCTTCAACACGTTAGCCCAGCCCAGGTGTTCTCTGCGCTATGTAATCCAAGGTGAGTTCTTTTAACTGAGGGCCCTCAGCTGCAGCACAATGCTCAACATGCAGCAAGATTTCCTTGTACACAGGCAGCTTTGTAGAGTTTTGGGAGGGCTCTAAGATTTGCAGTGAATCCTGGAGTCCTGCTGTCCCTTGCTGTCTGTATGTAATCTTATCTTGCTGGACTCAGACAAGCTGGGAGGCAGTGCACAGCGAGTCTCCTTTCATTTACTCATAACACAATATCGCAGTCTCATGCTGACCAAAAGACTGTCTTTACAGTGTCTCCAGGTCCAACAGGAGCTGCCTTCTCTCTAGCTTTCTCACTGAGCTCAGCTCCTGCTCTCCAGCTTACAGCTAAGACCCTGCATGCACTTTTTTAATTAAATGCCATTTCTCCACATAGCCCCAAGGCTTATTATTCCTTTACCTCCAACAGATTTTTCCTCAAATGTTACCTTCTGCTGGGACCAGTAGTTAGTGTAATGGCTATGTCGCTGGACTCCCATGTAGTCGACCACAGTTCGAGTCCCGGACCCGGTGGCTTAAAACTCACACCGGGCATGTGTGCGTGCGTGCCCACGATCCCGAGAGGAGAATGGAGGAGAAGGGATTGCAGCGTGGCCATCCCCCCCAAGGGGTGATTTCTCACTTTCTGTCTCTCTGTCTCTCTCCGTCTGTCTGGCGAGCACACGCGCCCTATATCAAAAACCTCTCAGAAAAGAAAAAAAAAATGTTACCTTCTGATTAAACTGTCCCCACTCAAAAACTGCATTCCAAAACACTGCCTACCCCCTATTCTTGCCATATTTTCACCTGAGTCATCATTGTCTTCTAATGGTGTTATTTTATTATTATTTTCTTTCTCCTTTTTTTTGGACAAAGAGATTTTTTGCTGTAGAGTGTGTGCACTCACTGGAGAAACAGAGAGAAACAGAAAGACAGAAAGCAACAAATTGTCCCTCAGCGAGATGGCCATGCTGCAATCCCTTCTCCTCCATTCTCCTCTCAGGATTTTGGGCATGCATGCATATGTGCCCAGTGTGAGCTTTAAGCCACCAGGGCTGAAACTTGAACCAAGGTCAACTATGCGAGAGTCTAGTAACATAACCATTGTGCCATCTGCTAGTCCCATATTTTATCATTATTTTCTTAAGACACAGGATTTAAGAAACGTAAGTGTGGAAATTTTTGTCTGTTCTGTTTCAAGCCTTAGCCATGTTACTAGAACAACACCTGGTACTTGGTAGGTGCTTAATTAATATGTAATGTCAATACTCTGCTCTTGGGATTCCTTTCCATTCATGATGCATTGAACTTCCAAAAAGACAGCCTGCCATCTACGTCAACTCATTTCCCAAAAAGAAATACTTTCACTGAGTGCTGTATTCATTTTTCTATTGCTGTGATGACAAAGTATCACAAACTTAGCAGCTTAAAATAACACAAATTTATTTTCTCAGTATTTCTGCAAGTCAGAAGTCCAGGCCTTATAAACTCACAAGGCCAAGATCAAGGTCTGGGCAGGTTTGCGTCTCTTCCTGGGAGAGAATCCCTTCCCTTGCTCATTCTGGTTGTTGACAGAATTCAGTTCCTCACAGTTGTTAGAACTGAGATCTTGTTTCCTTATTAGTTGTTAGCAAACGGCCATCCCCATCCTCTAGAAGCTGCGCACATTCCTTGGCTCAAGGCTCCTTTCTTCCATCTTCAATTTGAGCAAGGCAGATTGGGTCTTTCTGACATTTCTTTTACTTTCCGTTTTTTTTGTTTGTTTGTTTGTTTGCTTGTTTGTTTTGCCATAGGGCATATGCACTCACCAAAAAAGAGAGACAGTGAGAGAGAAAGTGAGAAATCACCTCCTAGGGGGGAGACCACACCACAATCCCTTCTCCTCTACTCTCCTCCTAGGATTTTGGGCACACATGCACACTTGCCCAGTGTGATTTTTCAAGCCACCATGCCTGGAACTCAAACCACTGTTGGTCATATGGGAGTCCAGCCCCTAACCACGACATCACCTGCAGACTCCACTTCTGACATTTATTAGGCTCTCCTGCCACTCTTCTTTTCTGTCACAGTCTGATTCTTCCGTCTTCATCTTCCACTGCTGAAGGGCCTATGTGATCATACTAGGCCCACTCAGATCATCCATTTTAAGGTCCATAACCTCAATTTCATCTGCAAAGTCTCTTTTGCCATGTAATGCAGCACACCCAGGCTTAACACCAGGTATGAGGGCGTGGTCGCCTTTGGAGGGCCTGATATCACCGTACTATCCATTATAAAGCTCTTAAATTTGTAGTTACCTAGTACACTAACTGTGCCTGAGGGTTTTTTTTTTTTTCTAGCTAATGTTCATGGTATCAAGTCTTTTGTTCAGTTTTGAGGAGTCGGCATAACAGAACCTCACACAACACTGGTTTCTACAGAAGCGAATTCATCATCTACTTGAAATCACATCACATGAAAGCAAATACTCAGTTGGCTTTGGGGGTAGCTACAGCATTAAGTACATTTTCCCCTCGCCCACACCGTTTTTGTAAGAGAATACATTTTCTTGGGAAACAATCTCCCTTTTCTCACACAATATAACCTGGGCTTTACATATCACAAGTAACCCAGGACCTCATCATATTAGCTCCTGCTCCTGACAGGCAGTTCCACCTGCCTCTCAGCTATGACCTGCTTTTGTCTGTTAGTCTTCCTTTGTGTAAACAGAGTGTAATGAATCAACCTCTTCCGTCAACTTTGGCTTGTGGCCAAAAGTTGCCCTAGGTACTCGTCTATATCTTCACAGCATTCCGTATGACTTCCCATCCATTCACTTAATTATTATGAAGTCACGTGTCTCTATAAATCTGCCTTGTCCAGATGATATGTGCCCTATGTCTATTGTACAATTTACATGATAACTGGACACACATTCTTGTTTTCCAGTAACTACTGATGGTCGTTCCTCTAAAATATATTCTGCATACCACCTAACCCCTGTTAGAATGGCAAAGATTAAGAATATAAAAAGTGATAAGTGTTGGCGGGGATGTGGTGAAAAGGGAACCCTCCTACACTGTTGGAGGGAATGTAGACTAGTTCAACCACTGTGGAGAACAATATGGAGGTTCCTCAAAGATCTACAAATAGAACTACCATTTGATCCAGCAATCCCACTTCTGGGTATTTACC